AGTGATTTGAAGAAACAAAGAAATACTGAAGACCTGAGAGAAAACAGCCCCTCAGACGAATGGACGTGGAGGATCTATTTGAAAGCAGCTCAGAGCCAAAAGTACTAACCATAAAGATGGCTACTGCACAATGTCTCCCAGCAGCCAATTTGAATACCATTGTTTTTAGGGTTTTATAATTTATTTTGGGGAAATTATATCAATAAACAATTTGGGGACTGTGGGACTATTGCATAATAAATATTTGTGTCATGGCTAACATAAGCTACAGATCGATTACTTCACACCAGATAGTGCTGGTTTGAAATGGAAGAGGGGATGGTGATCAACAGACAAGACAAGGCAGAGCACAGCATGGCAGGGCAGGATAGGGCAGGGCAGGGCAGGGCAGGGCAGGGCAGGGCAGGGCAGGACAGAACAAGCTGATGACAGAAGAAAGAAGCAAAGAATTATCCTCTTTCCTGCCTCATTCAAAGGGTGAAGATCTCAATTCACCCAGGGCATGAACCAAAACGGTGAGAGGGAAACGATTTTCCTTCCCCAGCCCTCCCTTTTTTCCCCCAGCTCTGAGAAATAAGCCTGGGAATGTTTGTTCCTGTTCTTTGTTATTTGTCCTTAGTTTCAGGTGTTGGAGGAGGCAGGTGATCCGCACTTGCAGGCCAGATGGTGTAGCCAGTCAGCCAGACCAAACATGGAAACCCTGAGGAGCCAGGGTACCTAGCACTGGAACCTGAGGGGAATTTTGGGCTTGGAACTGGAACTGTGTGCTCTATGGGAACCCAGCTAAGCAGGGAACCTAATCCCCTTTACCTCCCCAGAGACTGAGGTAGTGCAAGAAGGGGAATTATGTCCCCCATGTATTAGAGGAGTAAGTTTTTATATTTGTGATTATACCTTTTGAAATAAATATTTCTGTGTAAAAGCTAACACACACACACACACACACACACACACACACACACACACACACACACAGAAAGGATATGTGGAGGCAGAGAGCCACTGAAATGAAAGTTGAGAAAATTTAAAGCTCCAACTGACCCCCTCTCTAAACTGAAAGTAAGAGAGACAGGCTTTGCTTCTGGGAGCTGATTGGAAGAAAACTGTTGCTGGGAGCTGATTAGAGAAAGCAAAGTCCCCTGATGTTTGAAGAGCTGGCTGGACTCAGATGCCTTAGATACATCATCTATAGTTTGAGAACTGACAAACCAGGCAGTCTCTGCAGTTGCTCTGGGAGTTGATTTGATTGGATGAGAGCTCTGATATTGGGAGATGATTGGAGGAAAGCAGAATCCTCTGTGATTCAAAGAGCTGTCTGGACTTATGTACAAATGGACAGAAGGGAAAACTCCTAACAGTAGGAGTTTTTGATCATTTTTTATGTCATGGACCCCTTTGTTAATCTGGTGAAGACCTTCTCAAAATACTGTTTTGTTTTTAATCCATAACTGAAAGAAATACTAAGTTTCAGTGAGAAGTTACTAAAACTAAAGATGTCATCTTTTTGCCATCCAAGTTCAAGATCCCCCTGAAATCTAACCATGAATCCCTTGGGAGTCCCTTAACCCAGTGTTAAAAACCCCTGCCTAATAGGCTTGACTATATTGTTCGTTACTACCCTCTCTAGGGCAAGCAGGTTCAGCCTCAGACACTTACTAGCTGTGTGACCTTGGACAAGTCACTTAACCCTGTTTAGCTCAGTTTCCTTGTCTGCAAAATAAGCTGGAGAAAAAAATGGCGAATCACTCCAGTTTGCCACAAAAACTCCAAAAAGGGGCTACAAAGAGTCAGATGTGACTGAACAACAACAATTACCCTCTCTAGATGAAGCAAAAGAAATGTCTCATACCCCAGATTGCATAGCTCTACAGAGTTCAGGTTTAATGGAACTGCTTATCATTAAAAGAGTATTACACTATTGTTTTTGTTTTTGTTTTTTAAGTTTAATACAGCTTCAGTGAAAAGAGACTAACTAGACTAACTAGAAAGGGAATGGAAAGGCCCAGAAAAGGAATGACCCCACCCAGCCAGTGACTTGTGGCACCAATTATTCCCTAAGGAACATCAAGGCCTGCAGCTCAGTTATGAGTTTCCCCATGCACATGGTTTTCCCTACTGCTATGCCTCACTAGGTTTCTGGAAGTTTATGCCTATTTTCACAAACACATAGACACTGTGTACATTAGTAGAAGAGAAGAACCTGAGTTATGGGTGGACTGTTACATTTTGTTTTGATTTATTTATGATTTAATTATTCCTGCTTTTGCCTTCTCTTGAGAAAATGTTATGTTTTTGGTTAGTCTTACTTTTGCCTTCTTGTTTAGTAAATATTTCATGTCTGAGTCAATGGTACCAAGAGGTAGGTACCACAGCCTACCATGTACAAGTTACATATGGTTTGTCTACTATCCCTATCACATTCAACCTTGCATCTGACTTATTTGTGTACATGGCATATCACTGTCTTGAACTGTAAACTCCCTGGGGACAGGGTCTGTGTTCTTTTGCATTTTCGAATGCCTGGGGCAATGAATAGCACTCTATACTGAATCTAGTAGGTGCTTAGTAAATATTGACTTAACTAAATTGACTACATTATGAACTTAGGATGAGTTCATAGAATCATAGACTTAGAGACAATAGGGACCACAGAAATCACCCAGTCCAAACCTCTGATTTTACTAAGAATCCAAAAGATGAAGTGATTGGCCTAAGATTACTAGCAGCAAGTAGAGCTGGGATCCAAAGAACCTGAGTCATCAAATTCTAGGGCTACAACTAAAAGAGACCTCAGAGGTAACCTAGTCATAGGATCATCGAGAGCCAGAAGGGAACTCAGAGGTTACATAGCCTCCTCCTTCATTTTACAGATGAGGAAACTGAGGCCCTGGGAATTTAAATGACTGGCTCAAGGACACATAGGTGGTAAGTGCCAGAGGTGGGATCTGAACTCAGGTCTTCTGATTCCAGATCCAAGTTTCACTGCATCATCATGCTGCAAATGCAAGTAACACGAATGACCCACCATCAGTAACAAAGGCAATAGGTCCTGTCTTAATAGAGGACCCCAATCATCCTCAGCCCTACTGCCTCAATGAACACAGGTCCAACATTTAGGTCTTGCTTCAGGAGAAATTCCCTCTCACAATTATTGAAATCATATCCCTAAGTATCCTGTTTTCATGCCTAAGTGCTCTAGTTCATTATAACATCAACAAAATAAAAGGCAATTTGAGAATCTGGATTTTTTTAAGAGAGAAGGAAGGTAACAGCACTGGAATTTTTTTTTAAGTTTAATACATCAGTTAAGACAGTTGTTTTGTTTAGGAATTAGGCAGAGACTGTAAGTCCGTGACTTGATTCTAAGCTATGATTTGGGTAAGACAGTGATTTAGGAGAGTAGCTGGGAAGAACAACAAAGCCAAGAAGCTAGGAAGCAACACGGGAGAGAATGAATTTGGGTTTTAGAGTAGTTGAAAAAGAAGTCCCAGAAGGGGGATGGAACCAATAAAATATAAACTACTCGACCACAGAGACTGTTTCCAGGGGATTTGAGGATTGTTTGAAATATGAAATAACACAGGTAATGCACTTGTAAACTTTAAAGCCCTACAGAAGCCTCACAGCCTAGAGCAGGACCAGGCATATGCCAGACATTTAAAAGAGGCTTGTTCTTCATTCTGGAACCCAATTTGTAGTTATGCTAAGAGGGCAACTAAAGAGATTTCACCGCTAAACATATACCCCAAAGAGGTCGATAACTAAAATAAAGTTTCTATTCCAAAATATACATAGCAGCACTTTCTGTGGTAGCAAAGAAATGGAATCACAGTATATGTCCATCAGTTAAGGAAATGAATGGCTCAATAAGGTATAGCACCTGTATGTAACAGAATATCACTGTGCTTTATGAAACAATGAATGTTGCATACAGAGAAAACTGAGGAAGACATGCATAAACCAATCCACACAAGGTGAAGTAAGCAGAACCAAGAAAACAACATACCAAATGCCTACAACTATGTAACTGGAAAAAACAACAGTGAAACAATGGAAACTGAATGCTGGGAACTTATATAATGACTAAATCTGGCACCAAAGATGATAATTCACCTCCCTCCCTCCTTTGCAAAGGTAAGGGAACTAGGGAAAACTAACATTCAACCTGGTTCATTGGTTGGTTAGTTCTTCTGACCCTTTGTTTTGTTTTATTCTTTGTTATAAGAGATGATTCTCCAGGAGGAGGGGCATTCAGGGTACATTGCAGTGTTAAAAAAAAAAAAAAGATACCCATCTAAAATGTTTTTAAATACTTGTTGAATGAATGCCCAGAGTCAGAAATTCCCCTGGAATCACAGAATGTCAGCGGTAAAAGAGCCCTCTTTCCCTTTTTTGCTTATCTCCAATTTATCCTGCATATAGCTTTTTGTACATAGTTGTTCAGATGTTGTCTCCCTCATTAGAGTGTGAGCTCTCTGAAGGCAAGGGCTGTCTTTTGTCTTCCTTTGTATCCCCAATGCTTACCACAGTGCCTGGCACAGAGTGGAACCCTTAATTAATGTTTATTCGGTGACTCACAGATGGGGGAAACTGAGGCCCAGGTTGGAGAATAGATCTGCCTAAGGTCCAGCCGAAGTCTCCTGCCTCGCACGTCAAGGGACCTTTTCCAGCACCAGGCATCAAAGATGATGATGATGATGATGATGATGATGGTGATGGTGATGGTGGTGGTGATGGTGGTGATAATGATGGCTAGTATTTATACAACTCTTCGGGGTTTGCATTTAGATGCAGAAACGGGGCAGAGCGCAGATTTGGAAGAGAATTGAAGGACTATCCGAGCCCACTCCCTAAGACTTTCAAAGAAGCCACCGAAGTTCCATCGATGTGCTCGACCATCCTCTGCGCCTGGCCGCAGCCGCACTCGATTGGCTGAGCCTGGGCCAAGATGGCTGCGCCCATGTGAGTCGTCCGCTCGCTCCCTGGCGTTTTGCGGCGGTGGCGGCGGCGGCGAGGCCCGAGGCTAGGCCGGGGAGTAACGCGGAGGCCAAGATGCTGAGGACGGCGCGGAGGGTGCTCCTGTGGGGCCGAGCTCAGGCCCCGGCCCTGGCCTGCGGGCCATCGACCAGAGTAACCGTGGGGCCTCCGTGCGCCCTGCGACCTCCGGGTGAGGGGGAGGGCGGGGCGAAATCAGGCGACGAGTCCGGCGAGAGCGAGACCTGAGAGAAAGCGGGCGGCGGGGACTGGAAAAAGCGGGGGAGGGGTGGAAGAAACGAAGCGGGCGAGGAGGATCATGACCAAGGGCCAGGGAAGAAACCAGGCGGCGGGGCCCCATAGTAAAATGGGGGAGAAGTGGACCAGTGAGGACGAGAAGGAAGCCCGGGAAGGAAATCAGGCGGAGAGGTCTGGGGGAGACACGGGACAGAGAAGAAGGGCCAGGAAAGAAGTTGGGCAGCGGGGCCAGTGAAGAAGGGGGAGGGGGTTAGAAATCAAGGAGGGAAAGAGGAAATTGATCTGGTAGCTAGACCTTTGAACTCTGGGGAGGAGAGAAATGAGGCGGAGGGAAGAGTCAGGGTATGGGGACGGGGATGCTACCCGGGCCCCAGCAAGTTTGGGCTTTTGGGGGCCACTTCCAATCCCCCTCCTCCCTTTCACTTTCTAGGAAGTAGCATCCTCCTCCAGGCAGCCCGAGCCTATGCAGATAAGAAACCAGGTAGGTGACCCCTAGAGGCTCCTGCCCAGACAGGGCTGGGGTTGTCTGAGAAACTGAATGGGAAAAGCCTCAGCTCCAGAGACTTTAAGGGTGTCTTGGGGGGAGAGGGGAGACTAGGGAGGGACTCTGTCCCCATAATGGACCCCATGAAGGCAGTGGCTGTCGTTTGCCTTTCTTTGTATGCCTAACACTTAGCACTGGACCTGCCACTGATTAAGTATGGAATAAATGTTTATTGATTGACTGATTTAATTGGGATACATAGATAGAAACCCCTGAACTTTAGCACTGGAAAGGGGCTAAACGTTCCCTAACATCATCTAGGCCCATCATAGCCGCTTCTACCTCCCAGTTTTGCGCATGAATAAGCTGAGACTCCTAGAGACTAAATAACTTGCCCAGTCTTTTCAAATCCAGTAATCTACTTAGCCCCTGAGTATCCCTGGGGTCTGTTGGGGTTCACTGGGGGCATATGGGCAAGGGTGAGAGCTGATCTCCTATGGTTTCCTTCTGTCCCTGCCTTAGTGACCCAGTCCGGCCAGATGGATGACCTGCCTTCCTCCATGCTGCTGAAAGATTACCAAAACGTCCCAGGAATTGACAGGTATGTATGTATATCATGGTCTGGAGGCAGAATGTGGGAGAAAAGAGATGAAAAAAGCCAGTTTTGAAGTACTGGATCCCCGTTATCACAGACTTTCATTCTTTCTGCTGGTCAAGAATAGGAGGCTGGCCCCAATTTGGGGAAGTGGTTGAATGGGACTAATTGGTGAGGACCCAAGGTAACCAGAGAGCAAGCAGAGTGATCTGGAGAGATGGAGGCATTGGCCATTCCCTTCAGTCACCCACTTATCATTGGGACAAGTAGAAAAATAAATGATCTGAGGCTTAAGGTATGTTCAGATGATCTCTCCTATATTCTGGTTAATATTGAAGTCCTGCCTCCTGTAACAGGACAGCCTCAGTTTCTTACTGTCATCCCAGTAGATCATTTCACATGGTCCCCCTAAAAGCATAATCTGTCATTCTTCTAATTCTTGGGGAGGAACCTCTCTTCTCCAGAGAGTTTATTGATCTGCTTGGGAAAGAGGTTGTAGGTTGCCATGATTTTCCAGACTGACTTGAAATATGGAGTTACCCCTACCATCACCACACCCAATCTGAAGTTCTTTACCATTGTGGTCTCCCTACAGGGTCGATGATGTTGTGAAAAGACTCTTGTCTCTGGAAATGGCCAACCAGGTGAGTGTCTTCTCCCCTTCTCCAGGCATTTTTTCCCTCTGCCATTTACCTGTGGCTCATTGTCAGAACAGGTATGCCATGGAGTCTGCTGTGTTTTCTCTCTGGTGTTTGATTCCATTAGCTCTAAAGTCAGACATAGATGTGTTGCCACACCAAGTGTAGTTTGCCATCATGATATTGACACCTCTGAGCAGAATTATTTAAATTATTTCTCTGGGTTCATTTTGTTTTGTAAGAGGAGTTGGCTAGAGGATCACTTTGGCCTCAGGAAGCCTGGGTTCTAATCCTGGGCCTGCTATTTTGTAATCTTGGACAAGTCACGGTTATCTGGGTCTCCATTTCCTGATCTATAAATCAAGGAGAATAGGGTCATGGATCATAGATTTAGAGGCAGAAGGGCCTTCACAGATCAGGTAGTCCAACCCCTGTACAAAGGAGGAAACTGAAGTCTGGGAAGTACAATGACATGCTTATAGTCACATACTAAGTGGCAGAGCCAGAGTTCAAACCAGGGTCCCCTGAGTCCAAAATCAGTACATGGAATACTGTATTACATTGCCTCCCCAGTCACCTCCTGTGTCACAGGACTGTGAGAAATAAATGAAACCGAAGCGATAAAGCATTTCATGTACTGCAGAGCCCTATATGAAATGTTAGCTGATTTAAAATTAAGTAACGAGAGGAAAGCACAGGTCCTTGCTTCTGATGATGGGGGTGGTACCCATCTCACTTTACTTTCTGTCCCCAGTGTGATGTCAGGCTCGTGTCCACCAGCCTCAATATATGTATTTATTAAGTATCAACCTCAAACCAAGTTCTTCTTGGTTCCAAGGCCAACTAATTTACCCACTACACCGTCTGGCCTCTGACAGATAGTGGCTGTGTAACCCTCAGCAAGTCACTTGGGCTCTCAATGCCCTAGGTCAGAGGTGTCAAACTTGCAGCCCACAGCAGTGCTGATTGCAGCCATAACTAAATCAAAATGTAATTTGAAAATATTTAACAAAATAAATGCAATAAAACATAGATAATATTACATTTTTAAATTAAGACATTATTCATCCCACAAGGGTTCTTATATGCATTTAGTGGCCCCTGTTCTATTTGAGCTTGGTACCACTTCCCTAGATAAATCTCTTAAGATTCTTAGTTTTAGAGAAGGTACCCTCAGAAGCTCTCAATCACCTTCCTTCTGTTTTCTGGTTGCTTTTTACTGAACTCCCTTGGAGGCAGTCCTCTGTAATGCCTGGGGAGCAGTGGTGTGACCTTTTCCAAGACAGCCCTTAGAGTACAGTGTCCCAAGAGGTTTGAGAACATGGAGAAAAGAGGTGGAGTGTGTTTTGAGGATGAAAGGGCTCAGACTATACAGAAGAACCTTTTTGGTTTGTTCCCCTATCAGAAGGAGAAAATGAAGATAAAGACAGAGCAGTTGCTAACCCAGATCACCCTCAACCCAGAAGATACCACATCCCTGGAAGCTCGAGGTTGGTCCAAGGGTGAATGGAGGTGGGGGGGCGGGGAATGACCTGCCTCCCAACACATATTCTAGAGTCCTCTTCAGTTCAAATGGTTATAGGAGCTGAAATCTGGCTTGGGCAAGGAAGACAGAGAGTGACCAAGAAAAATGAAACTATCTTCTGTACCTAAAACTCTACTGGAACAATATTTATTAGCGTTGGGTGCTGTGGGTGGCACAGTTCTATGTAAAAGGATGGTGATCTCCAAGGTGCCTTTAAGCTATTAGTCCATGCTGTGTGTTCCAGGGTTCCTCCCAGCTCTGACATTCTCAGCTCTAACATTTCTGTGCTTTGAGGTTCCTTCCAACTTGAATTTCATTCTGTGGCTGTTTAAGTCCCCTCCCCTCTTTGGGCGCAGTCTGCTCTGTAAAATTAAGGAATTGGACTTAAGTGTCTAAGGTCTTTTCCAGGTCTGTCATGCCACCGTCCAGGTTCTTGTCCCTTCTCCCACCCTGGCCCACTCCCATCTCCTACCTGGGCATCCAGCTGTTTATTACAGTTTCTTTTTACTTCCTCTCCTACCCTTCGACCAGTCTCTATTTACTCGATGGTGAGTTTCTAAGTATCAAAGAGACCCACATGAACGGTTTGAAGGGCCTGCCTCCAGAGCCTCCTAGCCCTGTTTGGGGAAGGCGACCTCAGTTTTCCCACTAGCATTTCCACCTGTCTAGTCTGAGCATCACTCTGATGGCAGCAGAGCCACGGCACCACCTGTCCTGCCTTCTCCTGCCTTGCTACTAAAGTACAACTCTCAGGACTGATAGTAAAATGTCACTTAATTCAGACGGATATTTTCTAAGTGCGTACAATGTACCCAATCTCTCTGTTATTGATGAGACGCCAATAGGATAGGTAATTAATTCCTGCCAAAAACAAAATGCAAGTATTAATTCAGACAACACTAACCCATGGACCACCTGCGAGATGCTTCTTAGCCATGTTTTGAGAACCTTGCTTTAAGGGAGCTGGTCCTTAAGCTAATCCTACCTCCAACCTCTTTTCACCCGAGCACAGCTCAGTTCAGCTCTAGTTCTAAAAAAGCAATGTGTCACGAGTCAATCTTGAGAGAGCCTCGTTAGTCAATGGTTTCTCGGCAAGAAACCATCAAAACCCTGTCTCAGAACTGTTCTCTCCCATGTCTACCAGAGCTGGGTTGTCATTGTTTTGAGGGCTTTTCCTCTGCGCCATCTTCTGCTTTTTTCTGCCCTGCCCCGGAAATAGTAATATCATGTACCCACAGAAATGAAGCAAGAACTTGACGGAAGGATGTGTTGGGGGTACTGGGGGCAGAGTGAGAACTGACAAGTGAGGAGGAATCATGCACTGTTAGAACTAGCAGTAGCCTTAGAGAGTATCAAGCATCCAAAACCTTCCTAAAGAAGCAGGCAGCACACCAGAGAAGGGAAGTGATTTCTTTGTCCAAGGTCCTCGCTGGTCCCCCATCTGGCCCTGAAGCCTAGGTCTCCTGACTCACAGGCCAGGCCTGTTTCTGCTATACCTCACCCTTCCCTCCCATCTGAATGGCTTGAAAGGGGCCAAAGACCACCAGGGCTCCCACGACCATTGGGATTGTCAGGCCACTGGCAGCTTGCAAAAAGTAAATTACTAGCATTGCAGAGTGACTGGAGAGCTGGCTTTGGTTCACATCAGACCTCTGATATATACCAGCGCTATGACCATGGCCAGTGCTCCAGGCATACCTCTAATACTGAAGAGCTGAGGATCTGAATCCTCTGGGGTAGTTACCATGATAGGATTCCATCCCTACCCTACAGAAGAAATGGTGGGTAAGGAGGTCAAAGTTACCTAAGTCAGGTGGCATTTGGGCTTCAGTCTCTGAGCTCACCCTCAACTCTGTCAATCAATAAACATTAAGCACCTACTGTGTGCCTAGCACTGCTAAATGCTGGAGATACAAAAAAAGGCAAAAGTCAGTCCCTGCCTTAAGGAGTTTACAGTCTAATAGGGGAGACAACATGCAGACAGGTTTGTACGAACAGGCTACATAGAGGATAAATGATAAATAGAAAATAATGGACAGAGGGAAGACCCTGGCATTAAGAGGGGTTGGGGAGGGCTTCCTGTAGGAAGTGGATTTGAGTTGGGAATTAAAGGAAGCCAGGGAGCTCAGTAGTTGGAGGGGAGGAAGGAGAGCATTCCAGGTCTAAGTGACAGCCAGAGAGAATGCCCAGAGGAGAGAAATGGAGTGGCTTGTTCATGGAACAGCCTGGAGGCCAGTGTCACTGAATCAGAGGGAAGTGTAAGAAGATTCTGTGACTCGAGTTCTGGCTGCTTGCTATCCTGACCTCTTGTGGTTTGGTATTATAGTTATAAAACTGACAGTCAAGATCCGAAACTATGAAGAACACATGCAGAAGCATCGCAAGGTGAGCTTTCCCCTCCTGCCTTCCCATCCCTCCTCCTTCCACCCCCTCCCCAGTGGAGACAGATCTGGCAGCACCTGAGATCAAGCATGCCTGGGTTAAGACCCCACTTTGTGGGGGGGGAATCTCATAAAACATTTGTTGGTGGGGAAAATGTATTCTTATTTATAACTAAAGTAAACTGGATATAAAATTTTGGATAGCTTGGATTAATCCTATTTCTTTCGCATGAAGATGCACACCCTTGCTTGCTAATGGGTGTTTCTCCTTGACATCCAATAGGATTTTTACCCAGACATCACCCTCTGTCAGATACTCAAAAAATTAACTGAGTTATCCAATAAACCAAACTAAATGTAATTTTATGGAGGATAATTATATGATTATGAAACATAGCTTATATTAAATGTCCTTAAAATGCTACTTGACCGTCTCTGTCAGTTTGTGCTAATTAAGATGACACTAGGTGGCACTAGTTGTCAGTACACTGACTGTGTGACCACAGAACAATTATTTGACCTCCCTGAGCCTCATTTTCTCAATTAAATGGGAAGACAAGCACCTAAAGTATGTCCCTTCCTAGGTTTTGAAGATAGTGAAATAGAGTAGGTAACACACTTTGCAAACCTTAAAGCGTTCTCTCAATACAGCTGTTGTTGTTATTCTGTTCCTTCTGGGGAACCCCCCTCACAAGGGAAGGCTGAGGCCCAGACTTGACTCCAGAGGCTGCAGGGTGAAGTAGAAAGTGGGCTGGATTTGGAGTCTGGGGACATAGATTGGAATCTGGGCTGTGCTGTTTAACCAGCTAGGGTACCTCAGACAAACTTCAGTGCCTCATATAATATAAAGGGATAGTGTAAATGACTCTGGGGTCCCTTCACCTTTACATCTGTGACCCTGAAAATCTCATTGGCTACAACTCTTGAGTTTCTCTGCCTCTGCAGCATTGAGGCAGTGGGTAGGTCCTTAGCTCTTTTTAGTTCATATCTGAGCTTGCAGATGAAGAAACTAGAGTCTGCCCATTGGAAATTCATGCATTCAGCAACCATTTATTAAGTGCTAGGAGATGGAACCTTACATTCTACTAGGGGAAAGAAACTCATTCAAGAAACCGGCCCCTACCACTCCTTTGTAAGGAGGAGCACAGGGCTTGACTGGTAAATCACAAATGGCAAGATTCCTATGTAGAGTAATGGCAGCCTAGGTCATGAGACCATCAGGAAAATCCCATTGCTGGTGGACCAGCCTTCCCTGACTCCCTTGACAGTTGACTATTCACTAACTCGATGCTTCTACAGGACAAAGCTCACAAGCGATCCCTGCTTATGACCATTGACCAGAGAAAAAAGCTCCTGAAAAAACTTCGGCAGACCAACTTTGAGGTGTTTGAGAAGATATGTAAAGAGCTGGACATCGAATACACATTTCCCCCTCTGTATTACCGACCTGCGCACCGTCGGTGGGTGGCTAAGAAGGCTTTTTGTATTACGGTAAGGATCAGAAGTCACTTTAATTGGGCTGGTGTGGGACGGGTTAGAGGAATAAGGAGCTCTCTGTCAGCCTAGTAGTACCATGGAATAGCCTTCATGGGCCTTGGTTTAGATGACTTTTTGTAATCTTGACTCTTAAAATAATGTTTGACCTACCAGAGAGGTGGCAGGTAAGCTACCCTGCAGGTAAAAAGGATGGGGCTTCACTTCTGTTAGGGTAAGGTGCCCTATGGAGAAAATCTGAATTAGGGGGAATTGAGTGTTGTCTTCAAGTATGAGAAGGGCTGGCATGCCAAGGTGACAGATTAGACTTTTCTGCTTAGCCTCAGTGGAAAGCCAGGAGGTGAAGAGGAAAGGAGGTAGAGAGAGGCAGGTTTTGACTTGATCTGTCAGTGGGATGCAGTAGTAAGTTCTCTGTCACTAGAGACTAAATGATGACTTGGGCAACAGGGGATTTCCCTACTGGGACAGATTCTGTTTAGACACTTCCATGGATGAGGTGTTATTTATCCAGAATTCAAGGACCGTTTCCTCCCATTTCCTCCGATAGGTTTTCCAGGAGGCACAGAAGCTGAAGAAGTTGAAGAAGCAGGAAGAAGCACTGAAACGTGAAGGAGCAAAGAGGTCAGAGAGTCAGGACGCTTCGCTCTCCTAGCCCAGGCTCCACCAATCCTGTGGCCCTTTGTCTAACACAAAAAATAAATTAAGTCAAAACCCAGTGTTCTGGATGTCCTGGCTGAACATGGGGAAGGATAGCGTTGTAGACATGTGAAAAGTGATTTCACCAACTATGTAGCTGAGGCCCCTAGGAGGCAAGGACCATGGCCCACCTCGATTTTCTTTTCTTTTTCATTTTCTTTCTTTTTTGCAGCGTCCAGGATGGTTTGAGTGTTTTAATAAATAATATGACAAGTCATTACATAGATTAAAACAGTTACTTTCTAAGGGCAGGGACCTCTTTAGCCCAGAAAGCCCAGAGGTGTCATAGAAAGCACCAGGTTTATAGCAGGCTCTAGGTTTCCATCCCAATTCTATAACTGCAGGCTGGGTGACCTAGAGGAAATCATTTCCATCCTCTGAGCTTCATTTCCTTCATCTGTAAAATGAGAGGGTTAGAATAGATGGTTTCAGGTCCCTTCTAGCATCCTGTGATTATAGTTTCATGGATTACAAGTTGGAAGTTATATTTCATTATTGAACATCTACTGTGTAGGTGGCCCAATGCCAGCAAGAGCTGGGAAAATGGAGAGGAGGGTGGAAAGAATCAGGGTACAAAGGAAGAGAAGGCATAGCCTCTGCCTTTGAGGACCCAACAGTCTAGTCAGAAAAATAAGAAATACATAAATAAGTGACAATAGGACATAAGGGATGGATGAGCGATGGGGACGGTAATGTAGTTATTGTCCATGGCAGGGGAAAGTCACTGGGCTGGCACAGTCAAAGAAAACAACCACCCCTGTTGGGGAAATGGGACCTGGAAGGAGGGGGAGGGATTTGACAGTTTAGGAAGAGGATGACCAACATAAGCAGGAGCAGACGGTTCTGGGAAATGGTGATGTAAAACAGGGCCAAGAGCAAACTGAGGGTCCCAAATGAGAAGTTTAAACCTTATCACAGTGCTCTCAACTATACATACATGCACATTTGTGAGTGTGTATGTACCTTAAAGGGGGGTGTCATTAGCAGCTGGAGGCCCAGGAAAGGCCTGGGATAGGTGGTACTTGGGCTAAGTCTCTGATGCTAAGTTGGAGGTCTCCCCTTGCATTCTAGTCTTGGGGAAAGCCAATTTAAGAACAGTGAGCAGAACAAAGTACCTTGATAATAAGAGTCTATAGAGAGGAGGAAGGAGCCAGGTGAAGAGCTTTAAGTGACAAACAAAGGACTTTCTGTGGTCCTGGAGGTAATAGGGAGCTGCTGTGCTCAGAGCTATGCTTTAGGAAAATCGCTTCAGCAGTTGAGTGGAGGGTGGATTAATGTGCAGAGACATTTGAGGAAGGGAGAATTGGCTACTGGAATAGTCCAGGTGAGTAGTGATAAAGGCCTGAATTTGGGTAGTGATTGAGTGTACCTATACTAGAGATCTTTGAAAAAACCTCGAATAAGCTTTGGCAACTGATAATTAGCTGTATGTGGGGTGAGTGAGAGAGAAATGGATGACGATGCCCAAGTCGGGAACCTGGGTGACTAAAAAGTCAGTGGTGCCCTCCACAGTAATACGGTTTAGACGAGGGGAGGGTTTGCAGAGAAAGATAATGAGTTGTGTTTTGGACATGTTGAGTTTGAGTGGCCTATCTATGGAACATCAAGTTTGAAGACATTTGACAATTTGGGATTGGAGCTCAGGAAAGAGATTGGAGCTGGATAAAGACATCCAGAAATCGTCCGCATAGAGATCCTCATTGAGCCATGGGAACTGATGAGATCTCCAGGGGTGAGACTAGAGAAGAAGGCCTAGAGTTAGTGAGATAAACATAGATGAAGATCCATCACAAGAAGCTAAGGGGTCATTAATGAAGAACCAAGGGATTAGAGAGTACAGAAGGGGGTCAATGGCATCAAAGACTGTGGAGAAGTCCAGGCTGAAACCATTAGATTTAGCAATTTAGAAATCATGGTAACTAGAAAGAAGTTTCAGTTGAATAATGAGAACAGCAGCTAAGATTGCAAGGGATTTAGACGAGGAGAAGGCAATGAGAAGGGAAGGAAAGGGGCCGAAGCCAGTGAGTTTAGGTGTGAAGGAGGAGTAATGGGATTGCTTTGCTGTAATGAAGACCCATTTGAGATTAGCTAGCACAGATTTGTATTGGACCCAGTCAACGTTTCGATACTTCCCTCTAATTCAATTTAACAGCACGTGAGTAGGAAGGAATAGATGTGATAGTAATCTGGGGTCGGGGTTTGGTTCAGCATGATAAGCAATAGGACAGGGAGCAAGAAATTCAAGAGCAGAGGATTGTGTAAGGTTGGACTGGTTCACCAAAAGGTCAAGATTGATTGGCAAGCGAGTGTAGGCAGAGCGAGGACGATGGCCTGGGACAGTACTAAAGGGTAGAGGGATGGATTATAGGTCACGGGATCAAAGGTAGGTTTAGGAAGAGTGAGACATAGTGAAAGCTGGAAAAATAAAAGATTATGATCAGATAAAGGAAATACAGAGCTCTTGAAGATCCCCTCCCCCAAGAGGGGGGCTCTACCTATGGAACATTGCATTTACTCTCAGCCTCAGTTAATACATTGGCCCATTTATTTTTCCCTTTTTTATTCTTTGTTACAAGGGATGGCTCACTATTAGAGGTTGTATAAATAGTCAGCAAACATTTATGAAGCACCTACTATGTGCCGGGCACTGTGCTAGTGCTATGGATACAAAAAGAGGCAAAAGAGCATCGTGATCTCTCAAGGAGTTCAGAATCTAATGGACTGTGATGTAAAAACAAAAGAAGTCAATAAAAGTTCAAATCAAAGGGGATGTTCTTCACTGGGGATCATCTTCATAAATGAACATTTTTTTTCAAAATGGAATAACAGGTTTATATAGAATTTGCAAAATGACTTCCTAGTGGGCAAGTAGGTTATCCCCATTTTATAGATGAGAAAATTGAAGGATCATAGATCCAAAGCTAGAGGCAGCTAGATGGCCCATCGGATAGAGTCCAGGGCCTAGAGTCAGGATGGCTCATCTCCCTGAATTCAAATCTGATTTCAGACGTTTGCTAGCTGTGTGATCCTAGACAAGTCACTTCACCCAGTTTGCCTCGGTTTCCTCATCTGTAAAATGAGCTGGAGAAGGAAACCACTCCAGTATCTTTGCCAAGAAAACCTCAAAAGGGGTCACAGAAAGTCAGGAGGACTAAACAAGATCTAAAGCTGGAAGGGACCTTGGGGTCAAGTCCTATCCCCACGTTTTTTGCAGATTAGGACACTGTGCCTAGGAGAGGTGAATGAACCCAAGTGAAAGAATCTCAAGAGGACACACCTTATTAAGTATATGAGACAAGATTCAAACTCAGCTCTTCCAGCCAGACTGAATCCAGCACTTTATCCACTACACTGCACTGCCTCTAAATGACTCACTTAGTGGTCACACATCTCTCTAGTAACAATCCAAAGTAGATTTTGAACCCAGGTCTCCTGACTCTTAATTCTATGAAACTAAATTGGAACTGTGGTTGAAATGACTGTAAGGGAGAAGTCTGGCTCCTTCATTTAGCAGACTGAGGTCAAAACTTACTCCCAAGTTTCTCCCTCACTTCCCAGCCTGTGCTGCCCACCCTCCGGAGACGTCCCCCACCCACCCACTCCCACCCTCCGGGCCGTCCTTCACCCACCCCCTTGGGTCTTGCTCAGAGCCGTCCTGCTCCCGTGGGCAGAAGGAGCCAAGCTGCCAGTCCCCCAGGGGCGGGCGGTACAGCAGGACAGCACGGCTGTCACAGTCAGTACCTCGGCCTCAGTTTCCTTATTTGTTATATTCCCTTTTCTATAATTAGGTGTCTTTCCAGCATCGCTTCCTTACACTGGGCGTATCTCATAGATACTTTTCTCCCTGGGCTTGGTCCACCTCCCTGAGGAACGTCGCTTTAGGGCAGAGGCTCTCATTGCGGGGAGGGGTGGTATGCCTAGACAGTAGGTGATACATAAATGCTTGTAGAATGGATTCGGAATCGGTGGTTTAGGACCGGAAGGAACTTCAAAGATCATATCGTCCAAACGCCTTCTTTTGGAGATGAGGAAACCGAGGCCCAAAAAGATGAAAGAGATTGATGCCCAAGGTCACACAGATAAAGGAAGATACACTGGACTTGCCCAGGGTCACAGCTACTAAGTGAAGTCAGAATTCGAACCCACGTCCTCCGACTCCGAGCCCAGCTCTCTTTCTAGCTCAGTTCCCTGAAATGAATGAAAGCTCAAACCCCAGGCCTTGCCCCTCTACAGGAGCGGCAGGTGGGGGCTTCCACAGCCCCTCCACCCGACCCAGTGAAGTCCACGGAATCCCGGCTTGCCTGCAGGACCTTTAAATGTCGGACAACAGCACTTCTCCCGCCCTCCGCCCTGGCCCCCTTTAAGACGCCCACCTCCCAACAAGCGGCGCTCTGATTGGCCGCTTCTCCCAGTCCTGGCGCTGCCTTGGCAACCGAGTGGCTGGGACGCCTGTGCAGGGTCCTCCTGCATCACTCACTGCTCCGCCGGTGCCTGCCCCGGCCCCCGCCCCGGCTCTGGCCCTGGCCCCGTGGCGCCATGTCGGTGCGCTCGCTGCCCTTGCTCTTCCTGAACCTGGGCGGGGAGATGCTCTACATCCTGGACCAGCGCCTGCGGGCGCAGAACATCCCGGCCGACAAGGCCCGCAAAGGTGAGAGCGAGCCCGCGGAGCGGGGCGCGTCCGCCCGGGACCCCGCGGGGGCTGGGGACGCTGCTCCGGGGGCCCCCCAAAACGGGAGACTGCTCCGTGAGATCTCCCGCCAGGGGCTGGGGACGCTGCTCCAGGGGGCTCCCCAAAACAGGAGACTCTGCTCCCAGGGACGCCCCAAAAAAATAACAGGCGACTCTGCTCTGAGGCCTCCTTCAGAAGCTAAGGGTACAGCTCCCAAGGCCTCCCTAAAAACTGTAGACTCTGCTCCCAGCGACCCCCCCCAGAGGCTGGGGACGCTGCTCCAGGGGGCCCCCCGAAACGGGAGACTGATCCCTGAGACCTCCCTCCAGGGGCTGCGGGTACTGCTCCCAGGGCCCCCCTAAAAACTGGAGACTCTGCTTCCAGGTACTCCCCGCAAAAAAATCAGGAGACTCTGCTCTGAGGCCTCCCTCAGGAGCTAAAGGTACTGCTCCCAGGGACCCCCTAAAAACTAGAGACTGCTCCCAGGGACCTCCCCTAGGGGCTGAGGACACTGCTCCCTGAGACCCCCCCCAAAGCATGGAACCCTATCCCCCTGAGACCCTCAAAACCAAGGAATACTTCTAAAACCCTTCCCAAAAGCAGGGGGCTTATCTCCCCAGACCCTTCCCCAAAGTAGGGAATTGCCTCAGATGATGCTCCCCCAAAACATCCTCCAAAGCAACGGACTTATCTGCCTGAGACCCCTCAAAAGCGGAAGATCCTTCCATGAACCATCCTCAGCTGTTGTTTTTTAATTATTCCTCAAAAGCAGAGGACCCTGGTCCCTGAGACCCTCAAAATTAATGGATGTTGCTCCTCTAGACCCCTTCACCCCAAGCCAGGAAAGCTGCTCCCTGTGACCATCTCCTCAAAAAAGTGAGAGACTGTTTCTAGACTCCCTCTTTAAACTCTATACCTTGAAACTCTCCCTCAAAAAAATCCTCTCCCTCCAAAACCCTCTTCAGGTACTGTACATTCTCCAGCATGAAAGAAGTTGTCCTTGGACCCCTTTCTCAGACCCTGATCCCTCCATAGCAACCTCAGACCTTTATCTTCCGGTTTCCTTTCCTCACACTCTGCTCCCCTGATCCCATCTCTAAAGACAGGGGGACTTTGCTCCACCAATATGCCCGTCCAATACCTTCTGAAGAACTTCTCTCCCATCACCTCAGGCCTTCCATTCAAATTCTGTTCCTTAGATGCCACCACTCAAAACTGGAGGACCCTGCTCCCCACCACACACCGCCTCCCTTCAAGTTCTGTCCCCATTATCTTTTTTTTGTTTGTTTCTTTGTTTGTTTTTAGGCAATTGGGGTTAAATGACTTGCCCAGGGTCACATAGCTAGTAAGTGTCTGAGGTCAAATTTGAACTCCTGTCCCCCTGACTCCAGGACTAGTGTTCTATCCACTGCACCACCTAGCTGCCCCCTGTCCCCATTATCTTATCCTTAGAACCAGGAGACCTAATACCTTCCCATCCAGACTGAAAACACTGTTCCCCTGACATCCTCCCTCAGACATTACTCCCTCAGCACCCTCCTCTCAAACTGGGACACTACTCAATCACCCAACCCTTTAGAAGTGGATGACTCTTGTTTCCCCAAGATTCCTGATCTTACACACATGGTCCCTCTGATATCTGAGGATTCCTAGTCTGGCTTGATTCTCCTCCTCCAAACTAGAAGCACTTGCTAACAATGGAAGTTATTATTATTATTATTATTATTATTATTATTATTATCATTATTATTATTATAAAAACTGAAATGTGTAACAGTGATTTAAGTTGTGTAACGGACTTGACCTATCTTATCTCATTTGCTACTTTGACATTACCTTCCAACAAACTCCTCTTCTCAATAAGAGTCTTAGTTCCCATAGTTCCATGTTCTTTCCTGATCAAGACCCCAGTGTATTCCCTTCCTTTGCCCTCAGCCCACTTTTCCTTAATGGTCCTTATTCTCTAGCATGGGACCTCCTGGCACTCCCATAACACAGCTTTTTGCAGCTTAGGCACCCTCCCAACAACCTCCCTTCCCAGCTAAAAAGTCTCGTGTCTCTATCCTGAGAAGCTCTCTTCCCCATCCTTTTCCCACAAGAGTTGGAACTGATCCCACAAGTTATCTATCATCATAGTAATTATTGTGGAAAGTTGAAGTGCCGTGCAGCATCCTATGGCCGAATAAGACAGTTTAGGGAAGTCTTAGATCTTACTGGGGAATTCCTTAGCCTCTCTGAGAAGTATGGGAATTGTCCTTATTCAAGGCATGGATTCCTGAGATTGGAAAGGTGACTGTCCATTTCCAAGACACCAAATCTGAGCCCCAAAGCAATGATAGTAAGGAGCAGCATGGTACAGTGGAAGGAATCCTAGCTCATGAGTCAGTATCTGGATTCAAATCCTGCCTCTGGATTCCTGCTTGTGTGACCTAAGGCAATCTAATTAACTTCCTTGGGCTTCAATTTTCTCATCTATAAAATGAAAGGGTTGACCCTTTGAAGTCTGTTCTAGATGTATGATCCTATAAGAGTCCCAGCTGTCTTTTGCTTGCTTCCCCTTGCCTACAACCCCACCCCAACAGACCTTTTTAATCACCCTTTTCTACAGACCCCTCATTCATGTACTGCCCAACAAAAAATTTACATATATACCTATATATGCATTTACATGTATGATATACATATGTACACATACATATATATGTAATATTTTTCTTATCAGACAGTCTTGAATTATCTCATGCAAGCCACCCCTGGTCCAGCATCATCAGTGAAGATGTTGCAGGCTCCCCCCTTAATATGGTCTTTGTTTCAGAATTCACCAGAAAGCAAGTTCAGCCTCAATGGAGCAACCTCTGAGGGTTGCCCACTGACTGTTGTAAAAGTTTAAAGCAAGGGGCAGCTAGGTGGCGCAGTGGATAGAGCACCAGCTCTGGATTCAGGAGGACCTGAGTTTAAATGCGGCCTCAGACACATAACACTTAACTAGCTGTGTGACCCTGGGCAAGTCACTTAACCCCCATTTCCCAACTAAAAAAAAAAAAAGTTAAAGCAAGAGTAAGAATGTTGTGTTTCTTTAGTCTTCTCTTAAAAACACTCATAAAAATAAGTTTCTACCACATTTTTGTATTCCTCATTTTACAAGAAGGGAGACTGACCTTATAGAGAGCTTAAATGACTTGGCTGGGACTTTAAGAATGCAGACAGCAGGGAGCCGATCAACTAGTTGGTACTATCTAGGTTAGGTTCTGTTTTTATATTTATTTATTTTATTTTATATTTATGATTCCAAATCATCTCTGGACTCCTTAGTCCAAAAAGTACTCCTTAAAACTGAACTATGAGTTCAAACCCAGAGAGGAATAGAACCAGAAAGGACCTAGGAAAGGTATGTGGTACATCCTCCCTCTTTCCAAGGAAATACAAGGCCTCCTAAGATCAGTCAACCAACCAATATTTATTGAGTGCCTTCTATAATTACTGTGTGTTGCAAATTGAGCATACTGCCAGGGGATTCCAGTTGTGGAAGATGTGGTGAAGCCTAAAACATTATAGTGCAATGGGAAGATTATTGGATTGGAGTTTGTTTCAGATCTTTTACTTAATACCTGGGTGATTTGATCTCCCTGAGCCTCAGGTTGCTTATCTGTAAAATGGGGGGGTGACTAGATGACCTTTATGGACCCTCGCAGTTTTAATTCTGTGATTCCATAAACTAGACAAAGAAGTCAGCTAGAGAATTAATAGAGCTCCGGCTTCTTGACTGCAAATAGGCACTTTGGAGCCTGTGGAAGAAACTAGCCATAAAAACAGCACCACAGAGACATCTGCTGGACATGGGCTTTATTGCCAGTGGACTCATTCATTCACCACCTGCTCACTCACCAACTATCTCAGCAATAGGGAAATAGACTGAACGTCCTTTAGACAGGATGAGCTCTTTGCAGCAGCGCCTTATTCCCAAGCACGCAATGTGACGGGACAAAGTGGAAATTCCACAGCTTTTCGTTATTTTTTGAGTTCCCAGAAGCCCACCGTTCAAACCTGCCTCCTAAGCAAACGTAAAAGAAAGAAAGAAACTTTGATAGAATGCCCAAGACATCACTATCAGCTTCAGAGAAGCCAGACTCATGGTGCTGCTTCATCAATCTTTCACCTCCAGAACACCATAACTCTCATGAAAGGTGGTGAATTTTACAGTTGCTGATTCTCTAGGATGTAATCACTTTGCTGCTAAATAAACTTTAATACTGGAGATTGTAGTTATGAACTATTGTCTTGCAGCACTGTTGGCTAGAATTAGCCCCTTGTATTCCATGTAAGTCAAAAAGTTACAAATACCCTTTTGTCATAACATCAAAAACACCTTCTGGCTGTAAACGCCTCCAATAATTACTGATTTCTCAATAGATATGTGTACCTACACTTATTTAAATCTCTGAGCAAACTAGATTAGAGATAAAAATCTTTTCTCATCCATTTTTGTTCATAATCAATGTCAAATGGACTTCAGTAGAAAAGGAGAAAGAACTTTTTAAAAACTACTTCAAACATAAAACAAGTAGGATTTTCAAGGACATTTCAAGCCCAGTGAATTTTGCCCGGTTTGATCTTCCTTTGAGTGAGTGATCCTGTGAGTATCTGCCTGAACAGCTATCCTTGGGAATATTCTATTCAGAAATCCATTTGTTGCTTAACTTGCCTTGCTTTGCAATGGGAAGTGTGGTAAAAACAGATATTGCCCTCTTGTTTTATTTACTTTGCAAGTTGCCCAACTTGAAAGGCTCTAGCTGAAGGGAAACCTTAACCGTAGAAGAAATCAAGCTGCATGTCAATACATTCTACTGTCTGCTTCTTGTTCTGTTCCCCCCCACACACACACACACAGACATCCCTCTTCTATGACACAGTCTTCACAATGAAGAGTTATTTTCAATATTGCATGCCTGTATAGCACTAGAGGAGATGTCTTCTCAAGC